ACACACATACTACATCACAGGTATGTGCATTCAGAGACGTTGCACCGCTGCTTGCTATTGGTTTTTATCTTCTAATTATTTTACTCTGTGTCCATACAGCTCTATTCACATATCAAGAAAAAGCTGGCACACATTACTGAATACCTGCTTCCACATCGCCATGACAACAGCCATCTACACAGGAGGCATAAGCTTGACCAGCTACCCTGTGGTCTGTCAAGCAGTAAGTTTTGAGTTTACACTGACTCATAATTTTTCAAAACCGGTGTGTAAACTCAATGTCTGATCTGACTAAAATATGTAACAGGTGGGCATTGCACTGCACTACTCGTCGCTGTCGACCCTGCTGTGGATCGGAGTCAGCGCCAGGGTCATCTACAAAGAGACGTTGTGGAGGTTGCCACGGCAGCTGGAGGGAGAGTCTCCTGTTCCACCTACTCAGCGTCCTATGCTCAGGTCAGGGCACAAGCGAGCCGCAGCACACCTTCACCCACTTCCTGTACCATGAGATTAGTATTTGCTGTCAATATGGTTTATGCTTTAGACAGATGCGGGAGTTCTTGTGCATGGCCACCCAAACTCAAAGGCAGTCATTGTGCCCTGACAACTAAAGTCCCTCTGTTTTTAAGGAAACTTTGGAGGGACATAAGAGAATATTGCTGTAAGGCACAGAAAAGCCATAAGATTAGAGGGGAGGAATGTTTGAAACCAACACAACAGAAACTGAGGGGGTCACCATAAATCTAAGCACAGCCATTCAGGGGGGTGCTCTGTCTTTCTAAATATTCCCTTCTATTTTTCACCCTCACCCCCTTCCATCCCTGTGATCATATACTGTGCCCCTGACCTCATCGGACCTCCAGCCACCTCTTTGTTGCCCACTCGGCCACATGGTATGAGAGTGAAATAAATCACAGCCTTCCCGGGCCAGTTCTGACCCTTGTAACACTCTGCCCACTAAAAGGGTGAAGGATCACACAGCTCTGTTCAGATTATAGACAGTTAAAAACACTGAAAGGAAAATGACAGAGACATGCACACTTTAAAATCACTGTGGTCGAACAGCATCCTGTGGCACAAACAACAACTGCTCTTTATTTCTGAAACTGCAGCTGGGAATGTGTATTCTTAATGTTTTTCCTCTGTTATTCAAGGTTCTATTTGATAGCTGGGGGAGTTCCTCTTATCATTTGTGGGATCACTGCAGCTGTCAATGTCAACAACTATGGAGACAACAGCCCTTAGTGAGTACTTCTGTCTTCATTCTTGAGCCATTTGTCTCATGAGGCTGTCTTGTTGTTAGGTGCTGAAGTGAATAATTCTCTTTGACATGTTTGATACACAGAGATGTCCTTGTTTTGCTCTGACCCTTCTGACATCTCTGCCTCTTGCAGCTGCTGGCTGGTGTGGCGCCCCAGTCTAGGGTCTTTCTTTGTCCCTGCCGGCCTGGTGGTGTTGGTGACCTGGATCTATTTCCTGTTCACTGTGTTTCGCCTGAGGCACCGTGTGGCCAAAGAATGCACAGGAACCACCCTGTCCTCTCCTGTGACTGAGAGCCAGCCCGCGCTGGCAGGAAGCACCAGCCTGCTCTCCACAGACTCAGTGGTGGGACCTATAAACACTGCTGTGGCTCCAGAGGACCAGTACTCGCTGAAGACACAGTTCTTAGTGCTGGTGGCCACTCACTTTCTGTTTGTGGCTCTGTGGTGTTGTGGAGCCATGGCAATGTGGCTGACAGAGCACACTAGTTTGTTGTTCAGCTGTCTCTATGGGATGGCTGCCACCATTTTGGGGATTTTTCTGGTGGTGCACCACTGCTTCAGACGGATGGATGTGCAGGCCTCGTGGCTGGCATGTTGTCCAGGCTACCGCCGTTCTCATCCCATGTCCACTTACACACACACCTGCACTACCGGGAGTGGAGTGCAGACTTCTGAGCAGGGATCCCAACTTTTCATCAACTGCCATCCACCCGCTGAATCTCATAACTCCTCATCAGCTAGGTCGTCATCCACTCCAAGTGGGATCAGCAGCGTGGGCCCTGGGCCCTGTAAGCTCACCAACCTGTTACAGGTGGCACAAGAGAGTCCAAACAATCAATCAGTTTCACGCGCCCCTGCAAGCAACAACACTAGCACAAGTACCGACAACACCACCAAGCCAACAAACAATACTCTGCCCTCCAATAACTCTGTAGCCCCAGTGCATCCACAGAGAAGGAAAGTGAGTAGCAGAACTAAACAAGGGAGCAGTCAGTATCACCATCGGAGTGAGGGGAGAGGTCACTATCGTCTCAAAGCACTAAGGACCGCTGCAGGTGGGGGCAGCCTTGGCGCTTTAGGGCCCACAGGTTTAGAGCACCTCAGCTCCTCTCATGGGGTTTACAAACAGGCCACGAGTGAGAACGGTAGCATTCACCACAGCCTCTCAGAGAACCAGGCCAGCCCACTGACAAATGGGAAGCGGGTGGGGGAGTCAGTGGCCACAAGCCCCTCAGAGGGAAGTGACGGCGGCAGCAGTGGGAGTCGCAAACCCTTCCCTTTGCTACCTTCCATGGCCAGCAGGGTGGCCATGCACGGTGCTCAGAGACGATGTGCCAGCAGAGACAATTTGAAACTGGCAGCTGCTGCAGAGCGGGAGACGAAGCGCTGCTCGTACCCCTTGAACAGTGCCACGACCACTGTGCCAGGGGCTGCTGCTCCAAATGGCACCCTAAAAAACTCAGTGCTGGAGCTGGAGCAGGATATGAGTGGCACTGACCAGTCGCAGAGCTCTGTTGGAATGAAGAGCGGCTTGTGGAAAAGTGAGACAACAGTGTAACCTATACTTACATGTGAACTTCTATGCATGACCTTAAAGAACTCTTAAATGATCAGGTTATGTTTTAATGGTCTCTTGATTATAATAATTATATAATTTAAGATATAAAATCATGAAGGCATCCAGGACCCTAAACTGGTACTCTTGCCTCTGTAGCATTGTAAGAATTTTCTGTGAAATGGGAAACAAAAATATTGAGACTGGGTTTTTTTATTGTCATTTTCATACATAAGATACTCGTTTATTTTATCCATTTCACGCAAAAAAAGTAAAAAAAATCTCTAAAATTGGCATATGATGTTGATTTTGGACGTCTAATGAAAGCTTTACTTTTTTAATTGTGATTTTTCTATGCATATCAACTATAGCATGAAATAGACAGCGAGATGGTCTGTTTCCAAAGTACAGCTATATGCATTTAATCTGTGGACAGTCTTTCACCCTTATGTTTGCTTCAAGTAACAGCGTGTCCTCATGTATGCACTTGTATGTTCATTGTGTGTGTGTGTGCTTGTGTGTGTGTGTGTTTGTGTGTGTGCGCGCATGTGTGTGTGCATGCATGTGTGTGTGTGTGTGTGTGTGCGTGTGTGCATACATACAGTGGAATAACTGTATGAATGTGTCTGTACAGAATCTTTGTGTGAATTAAAAAAAGCTATGTGAAACTTTTGAATATATGATGAAAATCTTTCATTTTTATTTTCTATGTATTCCCATCAGCACTGACAGAGCTCCCTTCCCTATCTAATAAATTCAGACAGATTAAAAACCAGGGCCTCTCTTTCATACCCAGTCAATAGAAGACTTTTTCTTTAAGGCATGTAACGTATCAATGACTGCCCCCTCCTGGATGGCAATGATACTTTTCAGCTGCTGTCATGGTTAAGAATGTATCAGACTTGTGAGTGTGTCAAATCTTGTTTTTGGTTTTGCAATGACAAATGTTTACATCCCATACTGACTTGACAGGGAACCTTCTCACTATGATTTTAGAAGTGTTGATAATCAAACTTTCTAAAAGGATTATCGTCAAAGTGCCTGTTATTTTTAACAGGCCTGAACAAAAGAAAAAGATGAACACATTCTATTAGAATAATGCCATTTTTAGTCAACCTTGTAATTCAGGAAATGACATTATCCAGAAATACTGTTTCCACCATGCAACTCATTGTCACTGCTTTTTTCCAATTGTTCTTTGAGAGCAAGTCCTCTGTTGTGCCTACTGTTGTATATTTAGTCTGCTGCAGTATGAGCTCTTTTTTCCATCAGTCATAACGTCTATTCCATATGAGTGTGACTCATATTGAACCTCTCATGAGAAGCAAATATAAACATTGACATAGTCTTGACTTGATCACATGATTCAGTGATGACATCATGTCCAAGTACATCATACATCTGGTGTATATATTGTTACCTGAGCACACTGTCTTTCTTTCTTTGTCGTAGAGCGCATGCAGAAAAACATTTTCATTTCAACCTGATAAGACGCTTTTTTACTTTTTTATGTTTCCTAAGATACCTGCTATGTTGCTAAAGAAGGGAGCACACGTCAGTCGCTTTTCCAGTTATTCATGTTTAATGATTTATAACTTGTGAAATTCTACTGAATTTCCATTTGTTTTCACTTGCTGAAACTTGAACTCTGATGAGTGATCTCTATTTTGCATATTACTCAGGACAAACGCCCATGATGATGACATGGCGTGGAACATTTTCTTCTCCATTGTACGCCCTAGAAATAATCAACCTAAAATGTAAGCCTAAAATTTAATTTCTGCTTAATGTGTCGATGAGGACCTAATGAATAGATCAAGTACAAGATAATAAGACGTGGGAGAGAGCTAGAAAATAATGTAATGTAATTTCATCCTGGTAACTTTTGGATGACTGGGTGGACTGATTAATTAATCTCAGGCCATTTGACATGAATTAACGTCATTACATGAACCCCCCTTTGTTTTTGGTGTCCAAAAACTAATGTTAATTTTTAGATTTGCATATCTAAACCTTATTTTCTGTTACAATAAAGAAACAATTCCTGCAGTGACAGGTTTAGATATTTTTCAAATATGTTTTAAATGTCATATATCATTCAAGAAACTAAATTAAACTAAGCCTTACATAGTTTTACCATAGACTATATATAAACAGAGTTTTTACACGCTCAATAAAGTGCTACATGAGCTTCGCTGGCCTCAGGTCAGTGTTTGCGGTTGCTCAATGAGACTCCTCTGTGACTTTACACGAGTAAACTGATTCCTGATCAGTGACTGATATCACTAGTTAACGGTCCGCCATGCCCCAACGCCCACCTCCTCCGCTGTCCAATCACTGACGCGTCTGACAAGACTGACAGAAGCATCAGCCAATCCTGTCGCGTTGTGTTGATCCTGGATGGGAACTGACAACATCAGGGAAGTGAAGTGAGGAACTTAGCGGAGGAGAAGCTGCGTCTTCGTGTTTTCGCCTCTTCCTAGAGTCGGTCACTCCGCAGCGATGTCGTGGTGTGGTTACCCGGACCTGTACTGACGTGGACTTTGAGTTAACTTAACTTTAAAACTTTAAACTCAGAGGAGGGAGACGTGTTTCGACACCAGCCCGAGCTTCCTGAACAGGAGTCAAGCTAGGTAACAGGAACCCGCAGCGGCAGAGGGCGGCGAAGGTGAAGTTAACAGCCCAGGAAGAGGTTAACCAGCGGCCCGACGGTGTCCACTACCTCCAAGACCATCCGGATTAACTTTGGTTAAGTTTAGCGGGGGTTAAGAAATGTCTCTGGTGGACCAGAGCCAGCAGTGGTTCCCCACCAGCGTTCAGGTAACGGTGCACCAGGCTCGGAACCTCCGCGTCAAGGGGAAGAATGGCACCAACGACTCGTACGCCATCATGCAGGTGGCCAAAGACAAGTTCTCCACCTCGGTGGCCGAGAGAAGCGTCGCCCCGGTGTGGAAGGAGGAGGCTTCGTTCGACCTGCCGCTCTTCCACCCGGGAAACGCCGAGCGATGCACCCTGCACATCATCGTGATGCACCGGGCTCAGATCGGACTCGACAAGTTCCTGGGTCAAGCTGTGATCAACCTACTGGAGCTGCACGACGACAGGTCCCGCACGAAGACAGAGTAAGTCACCGCCGTGAAGTGGGCCTCATGTGGTCATCACTCATGAGATCACTCGTCATGTTCCGCCGTGTCAGAGGATCAGGTGGATGGAAATGTCTGAAAACTTTATTGCACACACATAACTTCAGTATCAGTACAAAAGTTCACTGTAAGTTAGACTACATCACAAACGTCACAGCCAGAGAAATGCTCCTCTGATACATAGTTTGGCAAACTAACATCGTGTATCTGTATCCCCAGCTACATGCCTGACTATTGTTGATATTCATTCAGATTTATTTCCTTAAATTATTTTGAGCCCACACTTACAACACTGCCTTGTTTGTAATATGTCCACATCCTCCTGAGTGGCTGACTACAAACAGACCAAGTCCCTCAGATGAATTTTGTTTCCTAACCATACTGTGACTGATCGTGATCACTGGTTGTATGTAGATGTCATTATTTTCCTGCACGTTGTGTATTGTTTTTGAAGTGGAAAGCATGAAAGGTTCAGTGTGTAGAATGTGGTGATATCTAGAGTTGAGGTTTCTTGTTGCAGCTGAAAGAGTCCTCACCTCACCCTCCACTTCCCAACATGAAAGAGAACCTGTGGTGAACTTCAGTTGTCATGAAAACTCAAAAGGTTTTAGTTTTCTCCAGTTTGGACGACAGTAAAAAACATGGTGGCCTCCACAGAGAGGACCCCCCTCCATGTAAATATAAAGTGTTTAAATATAAAGGGCCCATTCTATGGTAAAGAAAACTACAATTCATACAATTTAGATGAAACACATCAGTGGAAACATCATTAGGATTATTTTATATTCAATTTCTGCCAAAAATCCCTTTCACCTAAATCTTACACACTGAACCTTTAACACAACTTTTGTGGCTAATGAAAATCTACCCAACTGTTACTGACATATCACTACAATGTTGATGTTAGATTTTATCCAAACCATAAAACATTATGATTAACTAACACAGCTTATGTATCTTTGAAAATTGCCATCAATGAAAAACAGTTGTAAACTGACTCATATTAGCTGATGTCTCCTTTTAATACAAAGTTTGGTCAAATTTGGTAACTGTAACAAAAAGCATTGAACATTAAATGTTGTAAAACACCACACATACACTGTTATGCCCATTAGCTAAACAATTTGAAACGTGTGAATTATATATTAATCATTTTAATTTTCATTACATAGATAGAAGTTGATAAGTTTCCTTTATGGGATAAATGAAAATTAAGTTATGGCCATTTTGTGAACAGTGTACAAATATAGTGAGCTTAGAAAGAGTCACAAAATGGAAAAAAAAACATGTAGATGGTGATGAACTCTCTGTACCCTCCCTCCTCTTATCAGTGTCTGGAAGGAAAAACAGACACCATGCAGTCTAAATAAGTCTCATCTCAGCTTCCGTCTGTCTTCCTCTCCCCACTGGGCCACACCTCAAACTCTCTCACTTCATAATCTGGTGTGAAGCCAACACTGTTACTGGCAGCTTGGTGATTGAGGCCTTTCTGGAAATCTTTTCTTGTTTTGTTTTTCCCATTGCTGCTGTTACTTCTGCACATTCCTCTGGGTTATATACCAACAGTATTTTTCCTCACACCCTGATGTGTTAAATGAGTCAGAGCGACTTTTGTGGTTTGACGTAACATGGGTGTAACGTGGCCATAACAAGACTCAAAATAAAACATTAGATTATGCGCTGAATTAGGATTTACACACCCCCTTATGTAAGATGCTTTTTCAATATAAACAGGGCTTAATATAGACACTGTCAACTGTAACCTATCCTGGAAAATCTCTTCCAATAGATTTGTGAAATATATTTAATTATGTGCTGCTGAAATGACCTTTGGTAAAGCCTGCGTGGGATTGTGTGCTCTCACTAATCACTTAACAGAGGCCAGTCCTGACTTGGTGCTGGAATGACCTCATTCACTTAATTATCACCATCATATCTGAAATGTTATCTTGTGTTTCCACAGCAAGTTTTTACACTTCAATGGCAAAGTTCATTCTTTGTGCTTTCCTTTTCGAACTGTGAGCACCTGCTGCCTGTGCTCGGCTTCCTCATGCCGTCTCCTTTAAGATCCAACATGCAGGCTGGGTATTGGATGTTGTTGTTGTAGCCTGAAAGCGTGGTGTTAAATTACTCTCCTAATTCCTTGTACTGCTGATACAGGGTGTGACATTGAGAACTTTGTTTTTCTGTTGAAAGGGAACTCTGCAGTTGCCTCTAACACAAAAGAGTGCATTCGAGATGAAATGAGGTTATAACACACATTTGAGTTTGTCAGAGCGTGAGAAGCATTAATTATCTCAAAACATCAGACAAACAAGATCAAAACCTTGGGAAATTGTAATTAAAATGGTTAGTTTTATACTGAGTTAGAATAGGTTTAGAGAGATTTTCAGCATGGAGTGATTTAAAGCTGAGATTTGACTTGACTTTGAGAATTTGATTATTTCCACGATTAATTGAAAATTGATCTTTAGGTCTATAAATTGTAAAAAAAAGTTTGAAAAATAGCCATTACATTTTAAAGTTAGTTTAAAGGGATGGTTTGTGTTGTTTGTCTAACAGTCTGAAATACAGCAACATTCAGTTTAAAGTAATGTAAAGCAGAGAAAAGCTGTAATACTCACATTTTCACTGCAGGACTGTAGTCATTACTATTCATTATCAAAATTACAATATGACCAAGTGCAATTTGCTGGACCTCCAATGTTTTGATTAAGGTAAAATGATTCATATAATTTTAAATGATTCATTATGCTGCTCCAGACATTAAGTGTCCTACAAATTTTATTCTCCAGTTTTTAGGGATGATGGTTGTTTCAGGAGACGCCAGCAAAGGTTTAAAGGTTTTATCATCATCATAATATTTCTTTATCAAAATGAAATGCAAATATTCACACTAAGATCGCAACTCATCACG